GATTACCTTAGAGTGTGAAAAAATAATGAATTTTTTCGGTGTCGACCTACTTGGTAAGCCCACGCATTTTTAGTTTCGCACGGCACCAACAGCACTCATGAATTCAACGAGGCGCGTAAAAAAGCATCACACTTATTTTTTCAACATTGTAGGAAACCTGATACCACTCTACAGTGCGTGAAAGTACGATCATATACAATTGATAGTGTTATACGTGCCACTACCGCCATATGGATGTTCTTTGCAGTTTACCCCAATTCGAATACGGCCACCGTGGCCGGAAGTTGAACCTGCGCCCTCCAGCATAGTCACACGACACCCAATAATGATATGCTACCACAGCAGGTGAAAGCACAAAGGGAAACAGGCTGCGAAGTTTCACCGAGCGTTTATTAGCCAGACTAGGTTACAACCATCAGAAACATTTTAAACATCATCATAACTAAACTTTTGTGAAAAGTGAACCAATGACTTCTGTAGGTTAAACCAAATTCTCAATCGCATTGGTTTTGAATTGTCCATGCCAGCACTGAGAAGTAGGAAGGAATTATGCACGCGAGCAGTATGCCTTTCTCGTCCATGATTCTCCTTTGTTGCGAGAAACTCAACACAAGATGCACTTCTAGTAGCAGCTGTGCACAGCAAGTAAGTACTAACGCTCACTCACCTTTGTGAAAAGAGTATTCCGAATCCAGAGTAATAACCACCACAGCCACAGCGCTAACAACAAAATTATGGCACGCACTATGATTGCAAGTTGACACGCGAGGCGAATCGCGAGAGGCATCTGAAGCAGAAAAGTATGCAGGCACAACATTCTATAAAGTTATAATAAACTTGCGCACTGCAGCGATAGTTCCTCCACTCAAGTATGAGAGCTGCCGCGACGTCAACAGCCACTGTCATAGCTCACGAAAAAATACCGTCGGATGCGAGGTCATCGCTTATTTCTCTCGCAAGACCCGCGTTGTAACGTACGTATACACTGCTAGGACGGTCGTTACCGCATCAAAAACATTGTCGTTGAAGGGCTAGTGGTGTGCTATATCCATGGCTAACGGTCACACTTGTGGTACGCACGTAAAAAGAATATAAGCAAACATTAAGACGAAACAACTAAACGAGGTCGACGTGACCACAGAACACCTACCACGACGGAGACAAAGTTTGGTCTGCATGCTGCGCCCTCTCCAAGTAACAAGAAGAAAAAAAAGCGTGACCTCCGAAATGGCTAACGCGCGGCAAGTGTTTGCACTCTCAAAGGCTTCAAGAAAAAAAAAAGTAACTGTGGCAGTGGTCGACAGATGGCGCAGCGCTCGAAATGCCGTAGGCTTGGGGGTATTTGTCTTCGTGAAAACCTGATAAGCTCTAGTAATTATTTCGTTCATTATTGTGCAATCATTGATTAACTAAGGTTTGCCTAACCATCAGATACAATATATTTACGTGTGCGCATGTTGTGGTATTGATACAAAACGTAAAAAAAGTGTAAGAAAACGTACTTGTAACCTGCGCCACACAGGTCAGTCCAAATTCATAGCTATATAAGCTGAAGCGCTTTCATAGTAGGGTGTGAGTAAACACGTCAAAGTGTGGGTCGTTGGTGTGAATGGGTGATTGTGCTCTTGTTGCGTACTTGTGAGCGTATACGCTAGTGTACTTGTTGCGTACTATATGTGTACTATGTGACCATGTGTGCATGTGTAGCTATATGGATTGCATCAGCACATGTTAGGCTTTCAGTGTCCGTAAGTAGTCCTGAATGGGTTGATGCGTAAACAATCCGCAAGGGAGCCGTGATAGTGGGTAATAACAACGTACGTCGCGGCAGTCAACTTTTTTTAGTTTTGTTAAGTCCCTCCAGATGGCGCTACCTACCACCTACTTCATTGCTATGACGCTCTCACACCTCCAGTCATTTATATAACGTTGAACATCTATCTATCAATGCTGCACTACGGATTCGGAATGGTTTCACTGCGATCGAGTGTACGGTTTGGAGGCACATCTCGTGACCTGCGGACCCGTAAACGCATGGATAACGTCGCTACACTATGTGAATCTGCGAGAAATAAATACAGCAAGCCTAGCATGTGCTCTTCAGGTGAGGGCTCTGCAGAACCCGTGTCTTTCGGAGTGAACGTGGCTTCGCTGACCGAACGAAACGTACTTGCTCCGTCGTTCTCTTTCGCGATGTGTTCACCGCCACAGGTTCGTCTGCTTGTTTTTATAATCATTTCGTTCAATATCAAGCTCAGCGGGACCGTTTTTTGTAACTTTCAGTGCCGTGTACTCCTTACCAGTCGAGAATCGCTGCATTTGCTAAGCCTACTCGCTTCGCCGGGGGGCAGCCATGTTGATTTTCATAAGGAATAACGTGTTTCTCCGTGGATGAGGGAGCAATGTTTCTCTATTTAAAGACGAACATTGGGGACATCGCCGTTCCTCCCTAAATGGAGAGTACGTCACTCCATTTTTTTAAAGAGTGTACCGTCACCCAATGCGCTATCGATTACTTCGCAAAATCGGCTCATATAAGTACTATTCAGAGCTGTGCGCCGTCGCAGCCAAAGCAAAACGCAACCAGCGTAGTGCGTGGCCGGCGGCACAAGGTATTGCCGGGCAACCAGAGGGAACAGGCCGATCTGCACACATGCTCCCATGCGTATACCCCGGTGACTGACAGACGGCGCAAGTTGGCCGTCATCCACACGGAACGCTTTGTGAATTTCATCTGTTTCATAGCATATACCTGTCATGCCAGTGAAACCCCTTTCCTTTTTTTTTTGTTGCAAGTGACAGGCGCTGGTCCTAAATGTTACACCGCACATCATGAGCCCACGTTTGATTAATGATGAGAAGCGAAGCACTAAATCGAGAGCCGCGACTCGCAAGTTGCTTCTGATGTCCCAACTCAGCACTCCGATATAAATGACAGCAAAACATGCAGCAATGAGATACATTTGTCTCTTCTTTCAAAAACTGCCTGTCATTTTTACACAGCTTCTACTCATTCGGCTTAGTGTCGCGTACACGACAGGTATAATGTCTACTCGTCTTTCGCACAGTTCTGTAAGTGCTGATTTGCTGTATCACAAAAGTGCTCTTTTTGTTATTGAATTTGTCTTGAAAGCAGCTTTAATTCGCTTTACAGCTGAATAGTAAACAAGTAAGCCAAGAGATTAACTGTGTCACGACATAGTCAAGGCTATATAGGGCGAGGAGACTAAAATGTTCATCCACCGTAACATTGACTCTATTATTGTTAAATAAGCTTTGATTGATGTTCTGGTCACTTCTACACTTAAAGCTGTTATGAGATCAGAACACAGGTGACGAGCGGCGCCGTAGTTGCCTGCCACCGCCGCCGCCAGTGTCCGTAATCAGTATCGAATAAAAAAAAAATCCCTCAGTAAATAAATAAACAGCTATGACAGATTGGGATTCGAACCAGGGTCCGCTGCGTGCCAGCCCAGTATTCTACCACTGAGCCACGCCTTTTTTTTTCTTTAATGAATGAAATTAAAACCAGTAAAGTACACACAACATACTTCATCAGAAGTCAGGCAAACACACACAAGCGTCAAGAACGGGAAGCCACTCCGGAACGGGGTCAAAACTAGCTTAAAACTCCTTTCTAAACTGGCCTTAGGCTGACTTGATGTCGAGAAACAAATCGCATTAATATGAGTAATAAAGCATTTTAGAACATCACAGGAACAGCCAGGCGTCACACACTGCTACTTGCGTAACGCGTGTGCCATCCAGTGCTCCAAACCATTATAAAAACTTGCTCTTGATCACCTGTTAGCTGTGGCACATACCCACTTCAGGCTTATTTCTTCATCGTCATCAGCCACTGCATAAAAAATTGCACGAAATTCCTAACTGTGTAGCGGATACCACAATTCTCCAAAGAATGATGAAGGATAGCATGTAGTGAATGCTGGCTATATACTACAAAAAATATCCCTGGCGCCGATCCTCTCGTGACACACGTAAACTAGAGGTCGCTGCGCTGTAGGGTGCCGAAACTAAACTTCTACCAACACAGGTCTGGTCGGGGTCTTTCTCCAATGTGCGCTTTCTGTGGCGAGCCAAAAACTATAAATCATTATTTTTTGACATGAAGGCGATTTACTACAGCTCGTAGATCCAAGATAGAAAATCCTTTACGTGCTATTGGAATGAATTTATCCATGCCCGTGCTTCTGTTGGAGCCTCTATTTGTGGGTTTGCCGGTGAAAAAGTTTGCGGAGACATGCGGAATTATCTGAATGAAACCAAAAGACTAACAGACTTATCTTACTATTGTTCTGTGTCGACATACGCATAACTTGTCTCTTTTTTTTAAGTTAGGTTTTGATCTGGGTTATTATCTATTACTAATACAAAAACTTTATTGTATAGTACAGATCAGTGATCATCAAAATTTTGTTCTAAAATTTGTAACGTTTTCAAAATTTTATAAGTTCCTTTACTATAACATCGAATAATACGTTATCAGACCACTCAATTATTGGCCGATTCCCCACAGTGGGTATGAGCCACAAGTGAAGGTAAACAATAACAAGAACTAAAATTTATGATTATTTATGGCGTAGTGGGTACCCGGCAGTGTGCTTGTAGCATCCCAAAGAGTGTTTAGAAAAGGCTCTGAAAGGGCGCTCTTCTAGCTTTCACTGTGACTGTGCTGCGAGTTCCGCGCAGGCCTGGCGTTTTTTTTTTGTGTGTGTGTGTTTTGGAAAAAGCTAATTCGGAATGAAATAAGGCGAATCAATTTGCGACCTTGACACTGTCCACTGTTATGACACCACAACTGCATCGGCAAGTCGCTACTGAACTCCGTAGCAGTGCGACCCTGAAAGTGGGGTCCAATTGTCTTACCCGATAGTCTTTTGACTTATATCCCAACGCGATACAAACGTTTAGAGATATTACTGCACCCATATAGCAGTTCGTCCGTAACGAAAATGAGAAAGTACATATTGAAAGCTCACTTTTGGCAGCTTCCAAGTTCCAGATCTTCACTGTTCCCGATGTGGATCCCGCGCACACCATCTCCTCTGCTGGACAGAACTTGACGCATTCCACCGCCGTCGTATGTCCAGTCAAGCTCTGCGTAAAAGAGACAAAAGTACCGCCGCCACCTTGAGCACCTATACAGTGAAGGGACAGCCAAGATGAATGCGCGGCGCACAAACAGCACACAGTGCAATCAGTTCAGAGCAGTTTACAGCCGATCATCTGCCTATACCAGTACGCATCAACAAGTGCAGTCTAGCCCCACAAGAGGCAGCCACAGAAACGTGCAGCAAGACCTATTGTAGAGTGTCACTTTCACAATCTATAGACTCTTCTAAGATCCCAATGCCTTTTCAACTATATACATATACGCTGAAGGCATTTATGTTATCGGATTATACGGCGACGAGAAGTACGGGCAATGCGCGGCGTGGTAATGCTTATGCGGAACTTTTCGCATATATGAGCTCCGGGTAACAATCCGAGCGGAAGACCCAACCCGTTCATATAAGTGGGTCTCGCTCATTGCACGACGACATAAAGTGCATGCGCGCAAACTGCAGATATTTGGGACGAACAGACGCCACGCAGACGCAGTGAAAGTGCGGTGCGTTCACTTCATGAGATCCAGTACGCGAGACTCATTCGCAACACAACACAAGGACAACGGGACGAATCACTGCGATATAACATGCGAATGTCGTTCTTAGGTTCCTGCATTTGTCTTCATACAAGTAAGTAGCGCATGAATGGACTTGCTGCTCTGCTCATGAGCTTGCCGCTTTTTACATGCCTACAAAGCATGAAAGCAATACGCAGTACATGGAACGTCGGTGTTTCAACAAAAAGGACACACGTATTCATTTTATGCTGAATATCTCGTAAGAGACAATTGTTCCCTATCCTGTTGCTCGACATACAGGCAGCGACTGGCTAATGGCAAACTGTTGAGGGTATTCGGTCACCCAAGACTTGGTCTCTCAAGCGAGAAATCATTTATTGCAAAGAAAACAAACACAAAGGTCTCCAAATTCATGTGATCCCAGTCACGGCAGCCGCGTTACAGGCCCGTGTCATTGGATTTCGGTGCACGTTTCTGAAGAAGCCCAGGCGGTCGAAATTTCCTGCTTCAGCATTCCTCGTAATCACTTCGTGTTTTAAGACCTTAAACTCTAACAATTGATAATATTAAAGCAAACACAAAGAAACATGCACGAGTGCGTCGCAAGGAGATGGTACAAAATATATAATGCGCTGACTTCAGACGGTACTACATTTTATTGATGGTAGTCAGCCGGATTAATTGCCGGCAATGTACATATATCCACCTGCAGCAAGCAACACCCCTCTCTGGGCCAATGGGGCTTTACTATAAAACAGTGAATTCATAGACCTTACAACTTATGAAAAATATGTTTTAACTGTAACTTAGAATTACGTATAGCAACCACAACGAGATAGTATCAACTCATCAACATGCACAGTAAATAAAGGCAGGAATTAAAAGTTTCATATAGTTGTACGCGGCAAAACGATCCAACTGGACCTACATGGAGTGTGAACCTTCGCTGGTAAGCAATCGGGACAGATGAGAAAAGGTAGTCAGCATCCCGCCATGACTGAACGCATCACACCCTCATTTTGGTGACAACGGCGGTGGCAATGTTGCTGATGGCTATTGTTAAATTTAACAGTGGACATGCGCAAAAGAATGCTACCATGGCGCAGCCTATAGAAGCCATGTCTCTAAAACAAGTCAAATCATTGCTATACATAGAGGCGCCCAATATCTCAATCCAGGCGGCAGCGACTTACTCCTACACGGATCATACTGCGAATCACTAACCCCATCAATTCGCAGCGTTTAATTTCCACACTGTTCTCGCTTGAAGTGCCACATGTGGTCCGCGAAAGCTCGGGGCTCCATGGCATGCAGGAATTTACAGAATTTGTGTTGACGACGCGCGAGCACTATTCCTTTTTCCTGCAGCGACGCTCTCAGCAGCGCAGGACGGACGGGATGACGGCGAGCGAGGAACAGCGACCCCAGCAAGGAAGTTCGGTTCCGCACGACAGTGCCCCATGGGGTGCGCCACGACATAAGCGTGTGCGTTTCCTCAGCTCCACGGCAATCTGCACGCTGCGCAGCACAATGTGACGTCCCATTACGTACGCATATGCAAGCATATCTTTACAATGGGAACGACGGAACTGACACGCAACAGTTTGAGGCTCCCACTTAATGAGAACGAAATTAACAGCAACATATCGTGACGCTACTTGGACAGTGGCATCCCGCTTTTCGAAACCGAATTGAACGCCCACATACTCTTGTACTTATTTTTATACAGCATTTGGTAACGACCTGTTGATAACTTTTGGCGTTTAACGTCCCAAAACCGCGATATGATTATTAGAAACGCCATATAGTGGAGGACTCCGGTAATTTCGACAACCCCTAACGTGCACTTAAATCTACGTATATACACGGGCATCAACCATTTTCGCCTCCATTGAAAATGCGGCCGGGCATCCATCCCACGACCTGCGGGTCAGCGGTCGAGCAAATAAACTGTTCAACATCATTCAGAGTCCTACGTCGAGATAGGTAATTGCCTGACATTTAACAAGAGCTGCCCGGATCAAAACACTGGGATCTTTCGTTTGGCTCATGCTGAGGCTCGGTGAACCTGACGAACGACGTCCCATCGCATCTCTACTCTAGTACTGCTTGTCGGGGTCTAACGTCCGGAAACCACGATAAGATTATTATTATGGGCCTCCTATAGAGTGGAGGACTCCGGAAATGTCGTACCCCTTTGTCTTCTCGTGTTCCTTGTATAGCGCAATCGCAAAGAGCGCATAATGGCCGACTGACTAATGACAAATTCAAATTTCGCTGTGAGCATACATGCCCTTCCATTCATAAATGCTTGGCTGGAATGGAGCGTCATAGCCAACCATTTTCCTTCCACACAACGAGCGCGCCGTCGGGCGAGCTGCCATGGCTGCCCGTTTATAGGCTTGCACGCCAGCGATTCGACCCACGTGCTTCGCGGTGCATATACTGCGCGGAAAGGCAAAAAAATAAAGCACCGCGGCACGCGTACACGGTACGTAACAGCGCCGACGTCGCGCTCAGGAAACCTCTCATGGACCGGGCGCATTGCGTCACGCCGGATTTCTGCGACATTGCGAGCACATGCGTGCTTCTCGCGAGTCTGCTGATGCAGCGAAGCGCCGTCGCATCCAGGAAGCTTACGCCACGGATGACTCTGCCAGGGCTATGTGATGATGACGCACAGCACGCTTCGCCCCGGCAAAGTCCGGCAAACGGAACGGGCCACAAGAAATGAATGCCAATGAACTAACCGAATATCGTGACCAGAGTAACCGGCCTTCAACGCGATACGTGCCCGCGGCGCCTGTGGTAGATGCCATGTCATGTATACGACACCCGGCAACGAAAACATGCGTTACGAAAAAGCGCTATGGTGTCATTCTCGTTTTCAAGGACCATACGCGCGGCATGTTGCGTCAGATCGCTCCCACCGTAGAGTGCACGTTCCCCCGGGAAAAAACAAAACAACCCCTGAAAACTGGCCGAGCGCTACGTAAACGCTGGCAAGGTCGTCAGAGCAAAAGACACAAGCAACCGACAAGATCAAGTTGTCGAAAGAAGGGGGCACAACGGGCAACATGACACGTGTTGCGTTACGAGAAACGTGAGCCTCAAATGTCGACACGTATATAAGAAAACAAGCATAAAAAGAAATGCCCAGCCTTGGTCAGAAGTTTACAGAACAAAGCGTGCGTAGACATTGTCTTTGCATACCATAACACTTGGATGATTTTAGAATAAAACGATCGGTGTTCACTTTTGTGTTTTCCGTTTAAACGAAATTTCGGATAAATAGAATCATTCGTTGAAATAGAGCATATATTGTATACATATATCAACGAGCCTTTTCGTGTCAATGGTTTCGAACTGATATAAAAAAAGACACGCGACGCACGAAACCGCTGCAAAGCACCATGTAGTCGACGCGACTGAACGAAACAAAGTTATGATCCAGTTGGACAACACGGGAAACAGAAGTTGAGAGCACCATATTTCACCCAAATATCTGTAGAACCATCTGCAGGACCTCCGTCTAAATGGAGAGACAGTTCCACCGCTCGTGCGGTGGCAGGAAACGTAACGATTACGGTGCTTGCGCAGGTTAACTGCCGTATTGTGGTAATTACAGAACTTCCGTGATATGATGAGCTCTTTCGAAGAAGGAAGACGACGGTCGAGCTTCCTGAATGTGACAAAGAGTTTGTCACGCCGCTGCGTGCGGCCCCTTCACCCCACAACCTTCCCGACACTTCGATGCTCGGGTAAAATTAACTGTTCAGTTCAACGTCCGTATATGCATAAATTAATAAGCAGGTTTTCTTTAGTTCCTTTGAACCCGATATGAATAGAAGCCGTAACACCGTACTAATTTATTCATCTTCTTAACTAATAAAGAACCAGCGTACACATTAATAGAATTCTTGGCAACTAACGTCTCAAAACCACGATACGATGGCGAGGGCTCCTAACATGTTGACAACCTGAGATTCTTTAACGTGCTGTGAGCACTTAAATCTATATGAGTGGGCCTCAAGCATTTTTGTCTCAATCGAAAGATGCACGAAGTGACGGATTAGATTTAGCATACTGACATTTGTGGAGACAGGTGCGCTCGATGCACACGCATAATGGGATATTACAACACGCGGAAACTGAACATTGGCTTATAAGTGTTGTAACTTCAGAGCCAGGGCATGCTTTTCGAATCCTTTATTCCGGCATGCCAAAGGGCAGCCTCACAACAGCACAACGAACACCGTAACATAGGGCACACGCCCCTATATACAAGTGGCTCCAGGTTACACATGCGCAGTGGCGATCATTCACTTATCACCGCAACTTGACAACTACGACAGGTGTAGCCTATCGCGATATGAACACAACACTCCCTTTCTGACAACTTTAAGTACGGCTACTATAGCCCCAGCGATCAGGCGCCCGGCGTTGTCGGGTGCTTCTCCGGAGCGTAGTC